ACCAATTGTTGCCATTCTGTAGTTCTTGTGTAGGTACCCACATTGTTTGGGCAACCATATGATTGCATGGGTGCAGTTTCCCAAGCATGATTAGAAGACCCTCTTTCACATCAGGTAACATGGTCCTCTGGCTCTTACAGTCTTTCTGTCACATTTCCCTTGCTGTTGCCTGATCCTTAAGTGGAGGGGTTGTGTTGTCGACTTATCCATTGGTGCTGGGCATCCTGCAGTCCCTTATTCAGTGCGTGCTGGCCAGTGTGGATCTCTGTAATAGCGTCCATCTGCTACAAACAGAGGCTTCTCTGATGATGGGTGAGAACTACACTCATCTGTGGCTATAAGGCCAAATGTTTAGAACACAGTTAAAATTATACTGACTTCGGAAAATGGCAGAAGTAGATTCTCCTATCCAGTCTGTAATTTCTCCAGCCCTGGGTATTTCAATAGGTTTAATGTACCAGACACAAATTCCCTTTTATTATGTGGGTCTTAAGTCCAATTATACAGCTCTGGATTTCTTCCAGAATAAAAAAGCTACTCTAGTACCACTGGGAGTATCCTACTGGGCTGATCATTGGAATGGCTCATGGAAATAACAACTGGGAGGACTAGTGATTTCTTGTCTCCCTTGGAAGCTTCCAATGCTATGAGAGCCAGTCTTCAGTGAAGAGGCTTCCAGGCAGCTTCAGATGGATTCCTCTGACATAAGCATGTGATGTAATCATCAAGGGATTCCCATTGGGCAATAGCCTAATTTGTTTCACGAGTTATTTGGGCATAACTCTCCACCCCCACCATGAACAACTAACTTGAGAGCAAGGTGTGTATGCTTGGCTCTAGGCTTTTGTTAAATACCATGAGGTTCTTGTGTGAGGCATTTTCACTCCATTCGTCATAGTTCCATAGATATATGTTAATATATATGTGTGGGCTTTAGGTGGCTTATAAAATGTTTCTCTGAAAATTTCAATCATCCTTAGTGTTATTTATCCCTCCTGCATTCATCTCACTCCATGTTACCCTGATTTCTCTCTCCCTAGTTAACACTCCTGGATGTTTTTCCACTTCCCTTTTCATAACACCTGTCCTATGGCCCTTTTTCTAGCGCTCCCTCTCTTCCTCTTTCCCTATGGTCCATAGTCTTGGATTTTGTGGTTTCTTCAGGAAATAGATTCACATATAAAATTTCAGAGCTAGGACCCATAAACAAGAAAGGACATGTGACATTTATTTTTCTTGGTCTGGGTTACCTCACTCAGTATAGTATTTTCCAGTTCTATCCATTTACCTGCTAATTTCATTTTTCTTTGCAGTTGAACAGTATTCCATTGTGTGTATACCACATTGCCATTATTCTGGATTTCACTTAGAAGTTTTTTCTTACTCTCACTAAGTTTGTTGAGGTGTTTCTTCATGTCCTTCATGAACCTTGAGTTCTTTGATAGTATTTATGAATGTTCTTTTAAATTTCGTGTCCTGGGGTTCATTTAAGTAATTCTCATTACAAAGTATTTCTGTAGGACTAGTGGTTTCAGCAGAGAGTGATATTCCTTTGTTTTTTTATATTGTTTGTGTTTTTTCAGTGTGAGTTGGGCATGCGTAGATCTAAGGATTGGCTCAGCAATAAAGTGCTGGCCTAGCATGTATGGAGCTTGGTGTTCAGTCCTCAGCATGGATAATCCGGACACAGTGATGCATGCTTATAATCCCAGCATTTCAAGTAGGAGGATTAGCAATTCAGGTCATCCTGGGCTACATACCGAGTTTGAGGTTAGCCTCAGCTACATAAGCTACATAAGACCCTGCCTCAAATAGAAAAATAATTATGTTCCTGCTCCCTTTATGTATAATCAAGAATCTAATCTGATAAATAGGCTCTTGCATTGTAATTAGACATGGGAACAGCTACATCCAATACAGTAAGGAAATAGCTCTTCTCCCTGATCCTATACCCATGCTGAAAAAGAAAATATGAGTGTTCATATGTTCCCTTACAGTTATATGATACTGTAAAACTTCATTATTTATTTATTATTTATTTATGTAATGCAGAGGAAATGGGGCTGTGTGTTCCATGGCACAGGTGTGCAAGTCAGAGGAAAGCTTGGGGGAATGGTTCTTTCCTTCTCTTAAGTGTGTTCTAGGGATCTGAAACTCAGATCATCAAGCTTTGCAGCAAGCACCTTGACCAGCTGAGCTATGGCGCTAACAATGCATTACATATAAATGTGCATATGCATGCATGTATATATGTATACATGGCTTTTCAAGAGGCTTCCAAAGGGTTCACATCTGTTCTGAACAACTGATGAGATGCAGCCTAACACAGATATCTGGAGGCCACTGTAAATAAAAGAGCTGGGCAGCATGCTACTACTCCAGAAAGCCCGTGGTAGGCTGTTACAGCTTGATGCACTCATCCTCAGCAGGTTGTCCAGAAAATTGGTTTCTATCTCTCTTGTTTGGGGAATGCAAAGGAAAAAATGAAAAAAAAATCAAAGCATACCACAATAACAACAGCAAATCCAAGATGATGGGAGACAACAAAAGAGGCAGAGAACAAAATGGACCAAAATACAGAAAATTAAAATGAAACTCTACTTGTTTATCAATAATTACACTAAGTATAAAAAATTAAGCTTCTTAATGAAATATAATAGAGTGCTGGACAATAAAAACAAACAAACAAACAAAAGCCTGATGAACATAAGATCTATCTTTATGTTATCTATATTACAGAATTGTTTTAGATTTAGATATGCTGAAGATGCAGACATGGTGAAATATTCAATGTGAATGGTAACCCAAAAGTATCAGACATAGCAATACTTGTATCAGACAAATATTGATGACTGTGATCATACACAGAGGAGGTAATATAATATAATATAATATGTGATTATATAATGTCAAAGGGTAAATTCACTAGGATGATATATGTGCCTAATATCAAATACCTAAATATGTGAAGTGAAGAATGATAGAACTGAAGGTAGAATTCAACAGCTACATAATAATAACAGGGGATTTTCATATCTAACTTTTAAAAATGAGCAAAATACAGAAAGAAGATCCATAAAGAGGACACAGTAACACTACAGACACATACTGAGCATGGAACCAACACAGCACAAGTTGTGTTATTCTGAAGTATATACAGAGCCTTCTCTAAAATGCACCCCATGTTAGATCATAGAAAAAGTCAATAAATTTAAGGAGTTTGAAATCATATCAGGTGTTTTTCTCTGATGCAAAAGAATGAAACTAGAAATCAATAGCAGATGGGAATTAGAAAATTCACAACTAAGTGGTAATTAAAAGTACAAACACTTGAGCAATCACTAGATTCAAAAAAGAAAAAAGAATGCCATGGGGAAATATCTATAGATAAATAAAAAGAAAAATACATATCAGAATTTATGAGAGGCCCCAAGCTACACAAAAAAAGAAATTTATAATGATAAATGCTGACAATAAAAAGAGAAATATTTCAAATGAATGCTCAGACAAGGCTTCAAGGGACTAAAACAGGAAAAAAATTAAGCATGAACATAACAAAGAGAAAGAAAAAGTGAGGATTACAAAAGAAAAAAATGAAATAAAGAAGAGCAAATAAAGAAGAGCAAAATTCTTTAGGAAAACCCACTAGTATAAGATTTGACATTTGGAAAGATGAATAGCATTGTCAAAACTTTATCCTTACTATAAAAGAAAGAGAATTAAAATAAAGACAACTGAAGCAAAAGAGGGACCCACAGCTATACCATACAAATAAGCATCAACACAGTGGGTAACCTAAAGGGAAAATGAATAAGCTCCTGTAACATACAAACCACCAACGCTAAATACAAATACAAACCACCATGACTTCATAGTGGAGAAACAGAACATCTAAGCAGACCTGTAACTAGGAAGCAGATTGAATCAATACTTGAAAACCTCTCAAAAAATGAGAGCCCAAGGCCAGATGGCTTCACTGATGAATTTTACTGAATTTAAAAATGAGATTGAATGTCAGTCTTTCTCAAACTCATGCAAAAACTAAAAAGGAACAAAGTCTTCCAAACTGGTATGAGATTGGCCTTAATGCCAAAGCCAGAAAGACATTATTAAAACAAAGACTTACAACAATATCTCTGATGGAAAAGCTCACAACAAAACACTGTCAAACAAATTCAATGTCACGTTAAAGAAGTCAGACATTGTGTCTACATTTATCTGTGGATTGCAAAGATGTTCCAGTACATGAAATTTCACCAATGTGATAAACTAAGTTAACAGAGGAAGCATAAAACTTACATAATCATCTTCTGTAGGCTCAGAAAAATGATAAAATTCAGTGACCTTTCATGATCAAAATATTTTATAAACCAGTTGAAGGAGATTGTCCCAACATGATAAAGGCTACATCCAAAATCACACAGTTGAGATCATATTGAATGTTAAAAAAATCCAAAATTATTTTTTCTTAAATTAGAAATAGGGTTCTACTTTGAGATAAGGATGAAGCTGCCTGCTCCTGCAGCTTCAGCCAACATCATTCTAGCAGGCCTAGCCAGAACCATTTTGCAATAAAGAAATGAAAATATCATATTGAGAAAAGGAACAAAATCACCTCAGAGTATATGATATAGTTATCCCCCAAATAAGATTATTTAAAATCTATACATATTTTAAACTATAAAATAGTGCTAGCAAGATAGCTCAGTGGTAAAAGCCTTACCATCAAGTGTAACTGACTATCAGATCCCCGAGACACACAAGGTAGAGAGAACTGACTCATGCAAGTTGTACTTTGACCTCCACACACATGCTATACCATATGTACATACATAAAATAAAGAAATAAAGGGATAAACAATTTTATCTATTTAATATAAATTAAAACTATATATATAAACTATCTATCATCTATCTATCTATCTATCTATCTATCTATCTATCTATTTATCTAACATCTGTCTCGCATATAATTTAAACTATAAACGTAAAAATTAAAATCAGGAGCAAAAATACCCCCTAGGAACAAGGAAACTCTTAAAAGTTACTGTATAGAAAACCAATATAAAAATCAGTCATATTTCTATGTACTCAGAATGATAAATCTGAAAGTATGATCAAGAAAATGATCATATTTACATTAATCTAAAAGTGTTGGGGTTGAATTTAATTTAGAGGTGAAAGTTCTGTACACTTAAAACCATAAAAAATTGCAAAAGAATTAAGGAAGACAGTAAATGGAAAAGTATTACATGTTTATGGGTGGGAAAAAAATCCCTAGTTTTAGAAATCTGATACTTCTCAGAGAAATCTACACATTCATTGCAATCTTCATCAAAAATTTATTGATACTTTTAAGATAAATGAGCAAAGAATTTTAAATTTTAATGGAACCACCAGTGACCCAGAATAACCAAAACAATGCCTAGAAGAACAAGGTGAGGGACTTTGCTTTTGTTTCAAAATATACTAAAATACAGTATCTATCTATCTATCTATCTATCTATCTATCTATCTATCTATCTATCTATCTAACATGTCTCGCATATAATTTAAACTATAAATATAGTAACTAAACTGGCATTGACCTGACATAAGAACATATACATAGATAAATAAAGCAGAAAAGGAAGGCCAGAAATAAGCTTACTATGAGATAATCAATGTGTCTTCCAAGGGCCCAAGCATACCTAATGTGAGGAAGTGTAGTCTCAGAACAAATATGTTGAAAAGCTTGTGTTTCTAAAGATGATGTTGAAACTGGATATGCAAAGGAAAAATACTAAATCTTTATCTTATATGTACACGAAGTCAATCTAGGTGGATTAAGTATTTAAAGAAGAATTGAAACTATAAAACATCTAGAAGATGCTATATGTTTATGCCCTTATTAGATGCCACTCTGGTCATTCATTGTCTGAATTCCACTCACCACCACAACCTATTTTCAAATAGGCTTCTTCTAAAGAATTTCTTCTGATACTTGCATGTTGAACAGCTACTGAGAACCATTTATACTTGAAGGAAAATTTTTATGAATGTAAATTTCTTGGACCAATTTTTTTCTTTAGTATTTTAATATGGTACTCCATTTCTTTCAGTAATTTTCTACATTCATGTTGAGAACCGAGACCATTCTAATTTTCTATTCCTGACACGTCCCATGCATTAGTATATTTTGAAACAAAAGTAAAGATTCTCTTGAGTTGCTTAATTTTCTTCTTTGCTAAGTTACACTTTTGTTAACATGTAATTCATAGAATATGAGAGCACCTTCACAGAATATGGAAACTCAGTGGTTAATTGTGTATTCATGAAGTTGTATAGCTGTCGTCATACCTAACTTTTAGGTATTTTCATCATCCCAAGGGAGATCCCAAAGGAGCTGTCACTCTCACCTTGAAGTCCCTAGAAACAATTAATCAGCCTGCTTTTTATGGGTCTATTTTGTGCATTTCATATAACTACTTGGGGGTTTTGTTACTTTTTTTTTTATGAAACATAATTATCAAGGTTCATCCATGCTATAACATTTATCAGAACTTGGCTACTTTTCATTATAAGTATTCTATTAAATGGTTACATTGCATTTTGTTGACTCATGTAAGCTGATCCCATCCTATAGCTATTCCATTATAAAATTGCTTTAATTAAGAGTCTTACACGAATTTTATGAACATATATGCTGGTAATTTTGCCATGCAGAAGATTTTTATTTTGACTGAGTCCTATTTGTTTTGTTTTTAAACCGTGTCATGCATAAATTCTTTTCCAAGAACAATGTCATAAACCTTCTCTGCCCCCAGGTGTCATATGGAGGTCCTTATGGATATCGGGGGCTGGAGGACCATAAAAGATGAACAGGCACTATTGAGAAACTGGGTATGAGGAAAGCAGTGAATGATGCCCATTTCACAGGGCTGGATAAGCCAGACTTGAGGAAGAAATTGACTCAGCAAGGACCTCAAGACTGGCATGGGGATCTCATAGCTTTCGTGAGCACTTAGGTGAGGCAGGATCTTTATAAAGTTGGACAGGCTTTAGCAGATGTACAAGACTCAGACAGCATGTAAGGAGTGTGTAAAGTGACAGAGCAACCTAGAGGAGATAAGAGAAAGGCAAAGTTGACAAAGAGGTCTATCTGGGTAATTCAAAGGTCAATGTGGCAAGATTTGCTTCAAGCAGGAGTTCCTAATGGGGTGGGGTGGAGAAATGGACAGCAAGCCAAATTCTTTGCTAAGGAGCTTCGGGAAGGTGTTAGAGCCCAAGAAGCAGTTCTCAGAAGGACTCCATGATAAAACAACACAGGTAAAGATAATCAAGCCTCTCTCAGGGGTGGGTAATTGTCCCCCCCCCCCCACATACTAAGCAGGATGTCTCTCTGCTCTAGCAAAGGTTATGCTCGGTTTGTGTAAGTCATCCCCAAGAAGGAATTTTAACCACACTAAGTCTTTATTTACTTTTATATGCCATTGTTTATTGCTGTTGTTTTTATTTTACAGATAAAAATGAGTTATATGGATGTTAGGTATCATTACTAAGCCTACCATGTTACAGGGATCTCTAGAACCCAACATTATTCACTGAAGGAAACGTTTTGGCTGATTCTGGCAGCAAAAGTGACTTTCAAGGGTGTATAGTGCAAAATCGTGATTTGGACTTAATTATCTCACTCAGTCACTTCATACATTTTTGTCATGTTGAGCAACGGATCTGGGTAGGGGCTGGGCTGCAGAGCCTTAACTTAGGAATGTTAAACCTGTCTTGTAATCCCAGAGAATGATGGCCAGAGCCTCAAAGTCCACTCGCAAACTATTCATTAAGCAAGCTCCTCAAATCTTGAGGTATGTGATCTTACCTTTCTAAATCACGCCAAAGAAATTCCTCACACTGTGAGAAACTGTGTCTTACAGATTCCACCACTGCACACAGCAGCATTGCTGTTCAATCTCATTTGCCTCCATGTCCAGGAACTCCGTCACCACCTGGTTCTTTCCCTCTTTTCCTTTGTCCAGATGCTAATATTTTCTTTGTTAATTCATCTAGTATTTACATTATATGTGCTAAATATATTGTATAGCACAATATGATATATATATATTCCAAAATTCTTCTGTGCTTAGCATTTTGAACTACATTATTAGTCTATATTAATTCTCTCCCATTGCCGTCTCTTGCTTCTCCCACATGAATCTCCTTCCTCTTCCCAGATACCATGCTAAATTATTTTCATAATTTAGAAAAAGTCTGAATTCTGCCTTTAAGATAGTTAAAAAATACTGTATTTTTCTATGTATTTTTCATGTGAGTTTGACTTTTGAAAATTGAAAAATGTGGTTTTGCAGTAAAAGGGACCGCTGGTGGAAGTCTGCAGAGAGAACCAACGAAGCCTTGGAATTCCTCCTGCTCTGACTGCCTTTTGTGCCACATAATCTCTGCAGTCTTTCAGTGAGTGCTGAGCATCACTGCAAATGAGTTCAAACAGGATTTTATTACTTGTAACTGAAAGAATGTCACCAAGTAATAATTATACTAAAACTCTTAGCCTGATAATGTGGGCACAGGTACTGTGGCATTTAGAAACACTGTCTCCGTCTCCAAAGGTATCTTTGTTTCCTGGGTGATTATTCAGTCCGAATATGTATGCCCATAACCTATGGATGTTCAGACACTGAATTTCCAAGGGACTTTTGGTTTAGGCTTGGTGTGCAAAGAGGGTTAGTTTTAGGATAAATTAGAATATTTGTCTGGCTTTAAAATATAGAACTCCAGATCAAGGATCAAGTTAAACAAACTTAGTGTATGAAAACTATAACAGTTTCATTTCACTGGGAAACTAGTGCCTAAGTCAGAGCATTAATTGCCATAATAAAATGATTTCCATTTGTAGAAAGCAAACAGACTTGTTCATAAATAAATTTGAATCATGATTTCAACACTTAGCAACTGCATGATTTTGGTTAACCTACTTATAATCCTTGTGCCTCAGTTTTAAATTTGTAAAATGGAAACAAACTTATCAACATTTGGAGATACTTAAAAGCATACATGTATGGAAAACTGTTTCCTTTCATTCATCTACCTCCCCAGGCTCTTACAGTCTTCCAAGATGATCCCCAAGCCTTTCAGGGAGAGGTGTGCTGTAGACATACCACTCAAGGCTGAGTACTTTGAAGTCTCTTATTTTCTGCATGTTGACTTGTGGGTTTCTCTGTTAACTGCCATTTTCTGTGATCTATTTGCATCTGGGTACGACTGATGATTACTTTTTTTCTCAGGTAATGTGCATAGCACCTTCCAGCTCTATGAAAACTAGGCAGAAGGGATTAAGTTTCCGGGTCAGTACCCACATGGTATCTATCTATCTATCTATCTATCTATCTATCTATCTATCTATCTATCTATCTATCTAATCTATCTATCCATCTATCATCTATCTACCCATCCATCTATCTGTCTACCCATATGGAGTTACCCTATAATGGGGGATAATGCCCCAATTTGATCACATGCTAGCAAAATAGAAACCCTAGTACCAGGAATGGGATACCTCCATTTAGGTTGTTTGTGAGTGGTGTGAATGGTATTCCATAGACACCCAATCATTACAGGCTTTTGCCATTGTTCTTTGTTACCATACAGAACTTGATAGAAAGACCCTATTTCTACAAACACCAGAAACATGAATCATTTTAATACTATAGCTAAGTATTAGAATAATTTAAAAATTCTGTGTGCCTGAATTCATAATTAGAATCAGTATTCTGAAATTACTTACAATTCTCAAATGTAATTCCTTTATTTAATATATATGCTGGATGGTATTGTTGTGAAATTATATTTGGAAGATTTTAAGGCAGTCAAAAACAGGTAATAGAACTAAGCACTAGAAGTTTCTGCCTAGTGGGATAACATCTGTTTGGTGAAAATAATTAATAAACATAAAAATATACCTAATTAGGATGTATACTATCAGTCACGTTAGTGGTGGGTTAGGATAAGTGTGAAGAGATGATGTATGTGGCATCCACAGGAGAGGAAAGAGCCTAGAATAACTTGAGTGGCAGGTAGACCAATTCTGAATGCCCTTTACCACTATAAATAATGATATTTACTAGATTAGTCATCCAAGTTGCCAAGGCTAATGAAACTACCACTGGCAGAAAATGCACACCCTCGGGGTCCAAAGATAAGAACAGCTGTGATGTGGATGGTGAAAATTCCTTACAAGTGTTAACCCCATGTATGCTTGCCTGTAGCCTTTTCCCAAGGTGAGCCATGGAGTGTTCCCAGGATGAGCCACAGAACTTTCCCCAGAATGAGCCATGGAGCTAGGATGAGCTACAGAGCTTTCCCAGGGTGAGCCACGTAGTTCCTCAGGGTGAGCCATGGAGCTTTCCCCAGGATGAGCCACAGAGCCTTCCCAGGATGAGCCACAGAGCCTTCCCAGGATGAGCCACAGAGCCTTCCCAGGGTGAGTCACAGAGTTTTCCCAGGATGAGCCACAGAGCCTTCCCAGGGTGAGTCACAGAGCCTTCCCAGGATGAGCCACAGAGCCTTCCCAGGATGAGCCACAGAGCCTTCCCAGGATGAGCCACAGAGCCTTCCCAGGCTGTGTCACAGAACTTTCCCTGGATGAGTCACAGAACATTCCCAGGATGAGCCATGGAGCTTTCCCCAGGATGAGCCACAGAGCCTTCCCAGGATGAGCCACAGAGTTTTCCCAGGATGAGTCACAGAACATTCCCAGGGCGAGCCACGGAGCTTTCCCTAAGAAGGGCCATATTGCTGAGAAAAGTGACTTTCCTGAATTTGCATCTGGTTGTTGTAGTTTTTACATCTTAAGAAGGTCAGAGCTCTGAAGGAGGTCATAATGAAAGAAGTGATTTTCCAAATTATTTGACCTTCCTTAGCATATCACAATATAAGTGGAAGAATGAATTAAAGGGACAGAGAGATCTCAAAATACTGGAGAAGACATCAAAAGCAGATACTAGCTTTGAGGATTAAGAGAAGAAAGGAAAGAAAGATGTTAACAAGGGGAAAGATAAAAACTACTGTGATAATGCCTTTTGCTAGGCCGAAGGGTAAGGCCAGTACCTACATTACTTGTCTCCATCTATTTCTAATTTATTAGCCTTCACTGAGTTCTCACACTTAGTTACTACATGAATGAGTAAAGATACAGCAGGTGACATCTAGGTAGCCTTGTCCATGTGCCGAGTTCTGGTGACCTGTTAATTCACAAGTCAGAGATACTGATGATCCATTTCATAGAGCAAGTGCAGGCCTATTTTCAGAATGAAGACTCTATGTGTTCTATGCTTCAAGCTGAAGCCAGATGGCTAGATCACAGATTTAATGATGGGTCTGTCAGGTTACCTCACACACAGGGGCTTTGTACTTCAATGTTTCAAAGAGAATGAAAGGCACATAGTCTGAGTAAGGATAGGGAGAGGGAAGGGTGTATATGCAATGCCTAATATGGGGTTCATAAGAGGGTATCTTTGTTGATGTGATATTCATGCCAAGTTCTAAAGAATAAGTAGATACTCTCCCCTGAAATTTCCAGTCCTCAGTCATGTATGAAGTGTTTGTAAGGAAGAATTATTATTTTGGAACTATAAGAATTTCCAATAGCTGTAGAGTGTTGAAATAGAAGCTTAAGGCATGCCTTAGGCTCTCCAGGAAACAGCAGATGACAGCTTTTAAAATTAGATTTATTTATTTTTACTTATATATATATATGGGTACTTTGCAATGTGTGTGCCTGGTGTCTATGCAGGCCACAAAGGGCCCTGGAACTGGAGTTACAGATGGTTGTCAGATATCATGTGGGTGCTGGGAATTGAACGCTAGTCCTCTGGAAGAAAAGCATGTGCTCTTAACCACAAAGCCTTCCCTCTAGCCCCAAGGACAGATTTTGGTGCAGGGAGTTATATAGAATTATTCTGAATGAAAAGAATAACTAGAGACTGAAGGAGACCATACTGGGCCATATTCTACTTGCAACCAAGCTCACATAAAGCAACCAATAGTGAATTCTGGAGGGCAAAGGCATTTGCCTTCCATTGACCTTGAATAAAATTTCAAAAGTGGTGTAGCAATCATAAGGCAGCTGATTTTCATTCTCAGAAAAGCATTTCAGCTGTGAGCCATCAGTTGGTCATACCACAGCAGCTAGGAAAAAAGTAACTCACACTTGAAAGGGAACTCTACACAGCATACAAAACTATAAATTTGACTAAATAAGGCTGGAGTAAAAAGTGCATAATCAGGTGATACAGGGATTTATAATCACAGTTAAAGGTTTATTAAGCTGAAGGGTAATTTTAAACAATGGGGTATTAATGATTTTAAGTTAAAAGTTAATACATTTGATCATCTTAGTACTTTTAAAGAATCAGTATGGCTTTAAAGATGATTTAGGGTAAGCTTAATAAAAGTAGAAGACCCACTTTGAAGTTGTTCCTGCTGACAAGGAAGAAATGGTGAGAATTTGATGTTTTTAGGTAGGGCTTTGTAGCAGACCTTTTTTTGGACCACCAGCTCCCAAATGATGACACAGAGACTTCTTATTACTTATGAAAGCTTAGCTTTAGCTTGGGCTTCTTCCCAACTAGCTCTTAAAAGTTAAATTAACCCATTTATATTAATCTATGTTCTGCCACATGGCTCATTACCTTTCCCCCATACTGTACATCAACTTCCTCCTCATATTGCTGGTAAAATTTCCAGCCTCTCAAATTCTCCACCCCCCACCTCCTGAGTTTCTCTATTTCCCTGGAAATCCTGCATATTCTCTCCTGCATAGATATTGGCACTTCAGCTCTTTATTAAGCCAATCAGAAGGTGCCTTAGGCAGGTGAGGAAGAACAGACACATGTTCATACAATATCCTGCAACAATTCTTCCTTTTTGTCTAAATAAAAAGGAAAGATTTTTAACTCTAACATAGGAAAACTATATACAATAAGAATAATTATCAGGTAAGAATTACATTAATAATGTCCAGTCCATTTGTATTTGGCAACTTTGGAGAAAGTACTCTATTATCTCTCCTATCTTGGTGAGTCCAAAGTTTTATACCTTAACAACTTTCTATCATAACTTGTATTACTAACCTAAATATATCCTTTTAGACCTTAGCATTTTTTCTCAGATAAACAACTTACGTTTTTATATACCTCAACCTTTATAAACTTTATATCTCTTTTGTGAGTTTTTTTTAAATTTGGTAATAAAGAAAATAGTAAAACTATAATAATCTAGTCTTCAACCCCATCAGAGACCTGAGAAGGATAAATTATTACCCGAGTAAACAGGAAGTGCAGAGCAAGCACATTCCAACACTATAGAAATAACAGAGACAGCTGGCTGCCTGGAGAGTCACCCAAGATTCCTCTGTAATATTGGGGCATCCATATTTGGCCTACAGGCCTAGAATATATGACAGACTTTTATGTGAGGCAGAAATTTTGAAGGACTGTTCTACTTGGTCTTGGCAAAGTTCAACAGTCAAGTTTCTTTGTGTCCCTCTTGTCCAATTTGGATAACATACTGTCAGCAGTTGAGGCAAGGGCAGTTTCTTTCTCAGTGTCTAGTTTTGCCACATTGAAAGTAAACTCCATATGGGGGTTCTTTGATGTCCATGATATTCTCTGAAGTAGATTGGTGCTGACAGGAGCAGACGTATCTCACTGTCATGAAAAGTCTTATGCTATTAAAACATTTTAAATGCCGTATTTGTAGCTCTCTGAAGTGTTTGAAGACTACCTATCTATCTAAAACATATCTATTTATCCTTGAAAATATACATAATATGACTATAAGTTGGATTGTTGTAGATGACTAACTACTAACCAGCACTTCTTACTTATTCTAAACAGTTTGTAATAATAGCTTTCAAGGACTAGAACTTTACATTATATTTTAAAATGAGCTACATAGGTATAATGCCTTAAAAAAGAATAGAAACATATATACAGTATGTTATAACAAAAATAACCGTAAATTTATTTCAATATAAAAAATCCACACCAATGCAAAATATTTGAGACTAGTAGTTGCTTTTTGTGGTTTTTTGTTTTTTTTCGAGACAGGGTTTCTCTGTGTAGCTTTGCGCCTTTCCTGGATCTCGCTCTGTAGACCAGGCTGACCTCGAACTCACAAAGATCTGCCTGCCTCTGCTTCCCGAGTGCTGGGATTAAAGGCATGTGCCACCACTGCCTGGCTTTAGTAGTTGCTTTTTAATAGATTCAATAATCTACTCTTTTGTCCTATCATTCCTATAGCCCTCTTTTCTTTCTTTTCATCTCCCATCTGCATTTTTCCAACACTAAATAGAAAAGAAAGAAGGATAGAGGAAAGAAAGAAGGAAACCCCTTAATCTTACCTCCTTTGTTTAGCTTCCTCCCTGATCATGACCAACAACTTGCAACTAACCCCCCCTGAACAATGATAGACATCCACTGAATGACCAAAAATCACCCACCCCACCTCTTGGGAATGTGGGCGCCATGTCCTTAAAGCTACTTCCTATTATCTGGGGGTGATGGCACCTTTAGGGGACCCTGAGAAAATTGGTATAACTGTCAAGTGCTGTGAGAGCTAGCTGTATCACATGTTGTCTCATCTCTGTATGATGGGAAAGTTCAGGGCTTAACTGAAGTCTTGGGTGGAGTAGTCTGTGAGGCTGGACCATTTTAGCTAGCGGGTTTGAAGTTATCCTGAGCAGTTTGTGGTCCTAACCAACCTTTGGGTGGCATTTGTCAGCTTAATGGTGTTACCACAGTCCAGGTGGATTTGTTGTTGCAGGACATCCATCATCTTTTGTGAAACCTCAAAGGTCACTGTTAGGAATGGTTATGGTTCACTGCAGAAAACTTAAACATTTCAAATGCCATATATAGCAGATCTCTGACAGATTAGAGGACTACAATCTATTAAGTACATCCAGGGCACACAAACTTAGTTCCTAGTTATCTGCTTCAGACTCAAATCCAAATATAGGTACAGGAAGCTAGATGAAGCTCATTATAAAATTAGTTACCACTCTGTATGACTATTAATAATATCCTAACAGAAAGTTTATGTATATACATAATAATCTTATGGATTTTAAGATAGTATTTATATCATAAGAAAAGTTTCAAAGAGTCAAAATAAACCAAAGGATTATGAGATTAGTGGCAACAGAATAGTCCATTAATTTTGGTTTTCTTCTGTCCCTTATCAGGTGGTTCTTCTGACATGAGACAGAGATTTTGGATTTTCCTTTAACAAGCATGCTTGGGTTTAGAGGAGAGAACCATGTTCCAACTCCAAAGCCAGATTGATTTTTAATTGAATTGGGACCATGAAAAGACCATTTGCCTTTTATGTATGTATAGAGCTGCAAAAACAAGCCCAGCTAACACAGCCAGTAGAGCATGAGACTCTTAATCTCAGGGTCATGGCTTCTAGCCCCACGGTGGGTGCCAAATGTAGCAGGTCTTTCTTTAGACTGCCAGCTTGGTGGTCTTTGACATCTCTTTTAACATGGAAACTTATTAATTATGAAAACTTGGCTTTAGCTTAGGCTTGTTCAACAAGTTCTTAAAACTTAAATTAACCCATTTATATTAATCTATATTCTGCCTATTACTTCTCCTCCATACTGTAGGTCAGACTTCTTCCATATTTTGCTGGTGAAATTCCTAGTCTATCAGATTATTCCCTTAGGATCCTCTCTCTTCCCAGAAGTCCTGCCTATCCTTTCCTACCTAGCTATTGGCCATTCAGCCCTTTATTAAACCAATGAGAAGCTACCTTAGGCAGGTGAGGAAGGACAGACACATCTTCACACAGTGTGACCAAATATCCTGCAACAGAGCTTGGAATGAAGAAAAGTGAACTGGTTAAGAAGATATAGAAATATTCTAACTAGTGATCCATATTTCAAATGAAAAGGATGCAGGGTGGTAGAGAAAGATGGATGAAGGTGGTTTCTGACCTGGGAATCTGAAATAGGAAATTTGGTCAAATACAAGATTATGGGACTTTCATTTCCTATTCTTCCTGTCTGGCCCATAGAAAATTGTACTTGGCAGTATACTTGAGTTTAGGGGGAAATATGCAACCATCTCTGCTTAATTAAGCACGGTTGGAAATGATGCATGCTACTTCTGAGATGATATACCAGAGAACCCTCAGCTACACTGTAACCTTTTTTTTTTCTTTCTTTGGCAGGAAGCAGAGAGGCCATATGTAAGATCTTGAGTTCCAGAATCAAAGTGTTGAGAACAGTGAATCCCCTCCTGGAGAACAGCTGCTTTGGCCTGTTGCCCAGTCAAGAAAGGACTTAGTATGAGCTAGGAATATATATGACATTGTAGTTGTTTGTTTTTTAGTCTTTACTCTTTGGGGAGCCTACGGGAGCCCACACGGGGCCCTAGTAAGACCTTACTCAAGGTCCGAGAATCTGAGCAATCTTTACTCAGCAGGGCATCAGGTGTTTTGAAGGGTCTACACTTGGCTATATGTTGTGCTTTGATCTTAAGAGGGGGAGATCTTTTGCCTTGCCCCTAGACATTGTATTAAAAAGCCCTTTGGAATAAACTTTGAGGCAACTGGGTATTAACCCAGGGCCGTTCTGAAGCTATCTTGTGTCTCTGTCTTTTTTTAATCATCTCCTTTTATCTTTCTATTTAATATTTCCTCATTCCTCTTTCCTCCCCCCAAGAACCCTTTGACAGGTCAGAGCTGGGCCCTGACAGACTTCCACAGGGACTACCATCTAGCTCCCAAATAAATCACACACCACCGAGGCTTATTCTTAATTGTAAATGCCCAAATTTAGCTTGGCTTATTTCTAGCCAGCTTTTCTTAGCTTAAATTATCCAATCTACCTTTTGCCTCTGGGCTTTTTCCTTTTCTTACTTCTACTTCTGTATATCTTACTTTCACTCTTACTCCATGGCTGGCTGTGTAGCTGGGAGGCTGGCCCCTGGTGTCCTTTCTCTTCTTTCCTTATTCCTCCATCTCCTCCCAGATTTCTCCTCCTCTTTTATTTTCTCTGCCTGCCAGCCCCACCTGTTCTTTCTCCTGCCTTGATATTGGGTGTTCAGCCCTTTATTCGACCAATCTGGTGTTTTAGACAGGCACAGTAATACAGCTTCACAGAGTTAAACAACTGCAACATAAAAGAATGCAATACAGTTTTGCATCATTAAATAACTGTTCCACAGCATAAACAAATATAACACACTTTAAAATAACATTCCATAACATGACTTGCTTTTAAACTTTGTCACTGTTGTTTCTGAAAATTAGTGCTATCCTATCCAGATGTATGCTGGTACATAGAAGGAGTGTGTGTGTGTGTGTGTGTGTGTGTGTGTGTGTGTGTGTGTGTGTGTGTAGTTGTAAACAAAATGAGAGGGGAGTAAATAGGCACAATATGCGTTTAGTTTAGAAATACTGAGTTCAAGATAACTAAGATATTAAATGAACATATCTAGACTATAGTTAAGAAATATGTGTGATGTCTTTGAAGGAAATTCTGGACTAAGGATATAGGCTTTGAAAGTAATCACAGCCAATGCTGAGTCTCTTGGGAGGTGATTACTGATGTATGTAACAGAATATTCAGTGAACATCTTCACAAAAGAGCAAAGAAATCATTAACCATCTGTAACTCACTCCCCTCTTCATTGTTGTGAAGTTTTAAACTCAAATCAGGAGTGATATTTGAAAATTTATCCAAGGTGGCCTTCAGTTACACACATGTCGAACAAGCCAATATGCCATTTTCAGTAATTATAATATCAATGTCTTTATTTCAGTAACAGAAAGAAAGATAATTATTTGGCAATCTAAGTTTACATGGCTAAGCCAGACTTCATAATACTGCAGCTGCTGTTGTACTAGGGGACAGCAATGTATCAGAGTCAATTACCAGTTCAGTCTGCCTTAGGTTTAGTGTATTTTTGTTCAGTTGTATGTGTGTGTTCCTGCTCAGCTGTTCACCATTAGATACTTGAAGCTCTGGGTTCAGCAGGAAAACATAAAGTCCTGAGATTCACACCATTTTGTAAATGAGGCAGAAACAAAGAAGTTATTTGAACAGGTTAGTATGGCCTGAAATGCTGCTGTCTTTCACATAATAACCTAGATGTATGTGAGGGAAGATGAAGCCCATACTGAACTGATATATTATGCAACCTATAAATGAGATGCAAAGATAAGAAAAGGTCAAAACCTCAAGAGAATTCTAAAAGGAATACTCTGCAGGATAAAGCCCAAACTAGAACCTAAACTTCATTCTCCTTGATTCCAAGTCCTCTTTGCTTCCTTTTGTCAATGCTACCATGCATGGGATTATGGTGGGTGAGAATTTCCATCTACATCATGTCAAGACTTTCTTTCCTCCCTCTCTCTCTCCCTCCTTCCCTTCCTTCCTTCCTTCCTTCCTTCCTTCCTTCCTTCCTTCCTTCCTGTCTTTCTTTTTGTTTGGAATGTTTAAACATCTTAGAGCTCTTTAAGTTATCTTACTTTCTGTTACTGAAATAAAGACATTGATATTATAATTATTGAAAATGGTATATTGGCTTGTTCTACATGTGTGTAACTGAAGGCCACCTTGGATAAATTTTCAAATATCACTTCTGATTTGAGTTTAAAACTTCGCAACAATGAAGAGGGGATTTAAAGAGCTATTTAAACATCCTTATGCTCTCTGATTGTGTGTCTCTGTGTGAGTGATCACTACAATAGAATCCTTCTTTATTCCCTGGTTTCAGCTAGAGCAATGCTAAAAGTAACTTACATTTAGAGCCAGTGGTGATGTGTGCCTCATGGTGGGGAAGAAAGATCGACAGTGTACCATCTCTATAACAATAAGTAGAAAGGTACATTCTGATAAAACAAGGAACTCCGGACTTGCCTAGAGCCATCAGCTATCTCAGCCCACATATATCCGTCTCATCCAGTCTCTCATCTCATCTTGCTCATCTGTTCTCATTTTTTGAATGGCTTGTTATCATCATCTTTATGAGTAAATGGGAAATGAATGCCCTGAGGATACCACTCATGAATACAAAGTCTCTTTTGTTCTACATAGGAGACACATAATGCTGCTGAATAATAATAACACACCAGAGATAAGAATTTAAGATTAGACAAGTTCTGCCTAATGCATTTATTATCTGAAGGCTAATGTTAGGAAAGTGGGGACAGGGCAAGGAAACGATTTAGAGGAAGTGACAGATACTGACTGCCTATTACGCATCTGGTACAGAACCCTTTAATCAGATACACTTTCAATTTATGGACTCTCAGTAAGTGAGCGAAATTATACTGCAATTAAAATCACCCGTCGCCATTAGATATGGTTAGGACAGTGTTAGGACATTTAGTCATTGTGTTTCTAGACTTGTGGACAGGAAGTAGGCCATGTATACCATTTTGGAGGTAATTTATTACCATGGGTAACCCTACATGTCAGAAAAGTAGCAACCTAAATAACAAGTTTTTTAAATTTTTTTTATTTTGCAATACAATTCAGTTCTACATATCAGCCACAGATCCCTTGTTGTCCTCCTTCCCACCCCCCTCACCTTCCTCCCAGCCTACCTCCCATTCCCACCTCCTTCAGGTTCAAAGCCTCCCCCACGGACTGAGATCAACCTGGTAGACTCAGTCCAGGCAGGTCCAGTCCCCTCCTCCCAGGCCAAGACATGCGACCCTGCATATGCCCCAGGTTTCAAACAGCCAACTCATGCAATGAGCACAGGACCCAGTCCCACTGCCTGGATGCCTCCCAAACAGATCAAGCCAATCAACTGTCTCACCCATTCAGAGGGCCTAATCCAGTTGGTGACCCCTCAGCCATTGGTTCATAGTTCATGTGTTTCCATTCATTTGGCTATTTGTCCCTGTGCTTTATCCAACCTTGATTTCAACAATTCTCGCTCATATAAATCCTCCTCTTTCTCGCTAATTGGACTCCCAGAGCTCCACCCGGGGCCTAGCTGTGGATCTCTGCATCCAGATCCCTCAGTCGTTGGATGGGGTTTCTAGCATGACAATTAGGGTGTTTGGCCATCCCATCACCAGAGTAGGTCAGTTCGGGCTGTCTCTCGACCATTGCCAGCAATCTGTTGTGGGGGTATCTTTGTGGATTTCTGTGGGCCTCTCTAGCACTTTGCTTCTTCCTATTCTCATGTGGTCTTCATTTACCATGGTCTCCTATTCCTTGTTCTCCCTTTCTGTTGTTGATCCAGCTGGGATCTCCCGCTCCCCCAAGCTCTCTTTCCCTCGACCCTCGCCCTTCATTACCCCCACTCATGTCCAGGCTGTTCATGTAGATCTCTTCCATTTCTTCATCATTGGGCGATCCCCGTGTCTTTCTTGGGGTCCTGTTTTCCAGGTAGCCTCCCTGGTGATGTGAGTAGCAGTCCAGTCATCCTTGTTCCACATCTAGTATTCTCCTATGAGTGAGTACATACCATGTTTGTCTTTCTGAGTCAAGATGATTTTTATAAGTTAGATGATATGAAAATTGATTAATTATGTATGATTATGGATGATGACTTATTTTTCTCAAAGAATGTATCCTACTTGTTATAACCAATCAAGGCATAGAGAGGCCTGAGTCTATAACATTGGGATTTACAGGCAAAACATGATGAGAGAATGATTGACAAATAAACCAGATTTTGCTCTAGTAGTTGTCTTTTACCTGCCTGCATCTCATTCCACAGTGATGGTGTAAAGTGTCACTTCTTTACTCTTCCTTGCTACTTGCTCTCCCTAATTCTACCAGGAGGAAATGGGCATTAGTCTGTGTATTCTTTTGCATTTTCCTGCAATGAAACATAGGAGATGATTCCTATGGTTTGTTTACAAGTTTATTTCCATGACCACACTGGATGGTCCTTAAGTACAAGGAACAGGATTCATCAATTTATATATCCTCAAATGCACAGTGCGTGAGATACATTTGTGGTTTTATTCATGGGATGAGATATGAGCTAGCAGTTTATTATGTCACTTCCCAGTGGGTTCTAATCGGCAGCTATTCTGAATCCACTGGATTAGGGTTTCTGGAATGAGATTATGAGTTTCTAAATGAAAAGGCTTTAAGCACCTAGGAGTACTGATGAAGTATATTTTCAATAATACCATCATGCCAGTGTTGATTTTGCAGGCTCAAAGCTGCTCAATGTAGACATTAATACCAATGAGGATTCAGTGATTGTTGACACTGTGTACTAAGAAGGAGTGTTCATGCATAGTCATCACTGGGAATTTGCTGGTTCCATGCATGCATTTTTGTATATATGTTTCAAAAAGGTTTATTAATTGAAAGAAGATATTTTATGTCACCTTAGATTAATTGTATCTAGGGATCTGAGTTTGTAATTTTCTCAGTTTCTGGACTTCAGAACACATGGAATTTTTATTAGTCTTTGCAAACTGATCCTTTGCAAGAACAGAAATTTCTGCATGACTGCAGCACATTCACCTGTGTTGTTTTATTTAATCGCCAAAGCTGCTCTATTAGTTTGATGTTATAGTTCCCACTTCAGTGTTTGAGGCAGTCAAATCTATAAGAACATAATTAACTTGATCAATGTCCCATAGCTAGTAAGGAGGGCT